ATTCTAACCCATGAGGAGAATTTCAAGCTCCAAAGCCCTTCTGGACCTGACACAACTCCACCCCAGCCGTCGCATCAAATCCCAATGGATGGCCAGAGAGTTCAGGTGAATTCTCCGGACACTGGCCTTTCCACAGACCTCTGTATCTCCTGCCCGAGCGCGGCTGGAGAAACTGTCCCGACATGAGTCAGGAAAGTTTCTGCCATCTCCTCAGGTTGGAGGCCATCGCTATTAGGTTGGAGGCTATCTCTATTAGAAACAAAGAAAAAAGAAAAGACAAATGTTGGCTCTCGGGTGCGAAGCCCAAAGAGGGAATACCCGAGCAACCCGAGCAACATTCACTACCGCTTGTTGGAAGGTGTCTCCAATCGGCTCAAACCACACGGGTCGTTGATCATGTGGACCGCCTTAAAACGCAGACCCACACCAATGGAAAGCAAGTCACTAAGACTAAACTGACTTAATGTATGTATATCGAAAAGAAGTGGTGTCCTGGAGGGCAAATCCTGGAGGGGAGAGGGGGAGGAGGGGAGAGGGGAGGAGGGGTGAGGGAGAGGGGAGGAGGCCACAACTCTAAGTACTTCATCCTATTTCTATCTCATTTAGGCTCTTTGGAGACCCCTGGAGACCCCAGACTTACCCTCCACATCTACGGACTCCACGGTGACCCACGTTTAAACAAAACCACTCTCCAACGGCCTGAGCTTGACGGCTCGGCAGAGCGAAGCTCCATCTGCCTTGAGCGGCTCAGCGCAGCACAACTTCAGCCGTGCTGTCGCCCAAAGAGTTTTTGCCAGCGGTGTCCAAGAAAGGGCACATACAGTAAATGCTGCTCTTCTTTTTGGACAACTCTAATAATCTAATATATCCATATGATTTCATATGTAATCATATGTATATTCTTTCTTTTGGATGACTGTCTTTTTGTCTCAAATCAGCAAAGGGAAAAGGACCGGGGTGTCGATCCTCAAGCAAACATATACGTTCGGTAAGAGTCCCTCATACGAGCAGTTCACCTTGGTAGCGAAAATGACCTACCATCGGTGTTCCCTGTTGACTCACACTTTCCGTGGGCCTCTCCTTCGATTTGCTCTTAAATCACCATCGTTGACACGCCATGGCGACCCAAATCAAAGCAAACAAACATCTGGAAATGTGTAAAAGGGCCGACAAGACCAAGCTTTCTCATTGGTCCAACTGTTGTCGTCGCAAATAAATCAGAGTGTTCAATAGCTCAGTTTCAACCAGCGAAAGTATACTCTTGATTAGTAAATCCCCTGACATGAAGTAGATAGATCAACGGTATCACCGGAGACATACCCACCCAACCCCACCAGAAAATCTGGGAAGAGGAGGTTTCGTGGGCGCGAGCGACAGTCCGCAAGTGAGTGCATCCAAAAAGGATGGTTTAATTATTAATTATGTACAAGTTTGGGGATAGGGATAGGTCAGTGAAGACGCTGGCCGCAAGACCTACACCCCAAAGTGAGAGAATTGTTGATGAATTTGGTGAAGGTCCACAGAACATAAAAACCAAGTCTGACTTCAAGAGATTCACAGCGCCACAACAGCTTAAAAGCCTCACCGGCCACGTCGATCAGGTCGACCAGGCGCGAAACCGCCCCGCCCCGCCTGGCGCCACCAAGGAAGCTCCCGCCGCCAGCAGTGCCCATCTCCTTAAGGGTCGGTCTGCAAAGAGGGGGCGGTGGGCCGGGCCGTGGAAAAATAGGGAAGGTCCCCCGCTTGCTGTAGAGTCTGCAGAGTGACTGGTCGATTTTTCCTTCTTCCAGGGGGTTGAACTAGGAGGTCTCCCTATTTTAATACACACCCAGGTAGATTCTGTCACTTGCCGGTCCGAAACCAGAAGAAAGACACCCCCCCAAAAAAAAAGAAGGGTCACGGTGCACCAAGGAAATGATGCTCCCCTGCACCTGAGGAGGACTTTAAAATAGATGTTGAATGGTTGTGTCATGTTCTGGAATTGTGGCCGCCCTGGTTCCTTTTGCTACAAACAGGATGGATTCTCTGGAGTTACCACAGGTATACCTCGCCCACATCATGCAAAACTCATCAACATGAGACTCGCCCCATATCATGCTTCCGCTTTCCAGCATGCCAAGCCAGAAGCATGGTGTGTGGGACCCAGGCGAAGCATACCGTAAAACCCATGGTTCTTTCCTACCACCGATTCGACGCATGGTGCTCGACGTGAAAACAACCACGAAGTTGGAGACCACCTCTGGGTCTGAAAAAGCTGCACATGCGCGGATTTTCCTGTCTGCTTTCGACATGCCACAGATACATGAGGACCTCTGAGGACCTTTCAAGTTGGGCAATTGGTCACCGATGTCCCTTGTTCTGAGGTCTGCTCGACCGTAAATCATGGTGACGACAGAAACGTGTGTCAACACATACGCATGCAACATAAATATCATGAATATATATATATATTAATATATATTGTACATATAGTTTAGTAGCACAACACTGGCTATGTTTATCAGATGGAAAACAAGAAACTCGGCTACACTTCTAATGTTCAGGATATTTCTGAAACCATGCGCTGCTCTTTCGCCTTCCATCTGGCCCCATCCCCTCGGCGTGGCACCAGCGGCTCGGCGCCACCTGAGGGAATGACATGATGACAGGAGCGGTCAGAACATGTTTGTTCTGAAGCTGCCACATCTGAACACCCAAAACAGCGAGAGACAACCAAAATGACCCTTCAATCACCAGATCCATGTCATTTTTAAAGAGTCATCTGGCAGGAAGGCTCCAAATGTCCGAGGCACCGAGGATCCGAATAGCGAAGCATCATTTGGCAAAAAGTCTTGAGTCCTAGATTTCCTGGCACCCACTCTTTCTCTTCTGACGCTACGAAACAGGAATCTCTGAACCCCTCTCTGTTCTACATTGATGTCAATTGGATTCAATTGAGCGGTGTCAAAAACCATCCGGAACTTTTATTAAGATTATAACAACCTTTCGCCAATCCCTTCGCAACGCTTTCGCGGCTGCATGTTTTGCTTTCGCCGACCCACTTCACCCGAAAACCTCTTTAGCTAACCCTTTCGCCGAGTTTCTGCTACTTAAATCTAAGAAAAGTATCAGCAAAGGGGAATCATTCCTAATCTGCAACCACTGCTTTCGCCACATCTTCGCGAACCTTTCGCCAACCTTTCGCCTGGTTCTCAGGAATCTTTGGATGACATGCTTTGTCCTGAAAACCTCTTCGCCAATCGCCAAGCTTTCCCCAACTGCAGTTTTCCTTTCGCACAGATTCATAATCTTAAGTCCTACCTAAATTCTTTCATAGAGGTTTAAGATGTTGCTCAATTCTTTCTCCGTCATCTGTGGTGGAGCCCCAGCCCAAAGAATGTGTTGGAGCCAGTCCGTTCTGCCTCGATAGCCTCTGCACGCGCCATGGCTCCCCCCAAAAAGGAAGCGCCGGCCAGCACTGTAGAGCCAAAAAACACGGGAAGAAACGTCGGCCAGCCGTCTAAGACCCGCATTTTGAGTTTGTGGTTTCGGAGTCTGGCCAGAAAGTAATTAGACTATAGCGGTTCTTAAAGCATTTTGTATAGTATATGTGATTTGGTTACCTCCGCTACATGTTCTGTTACATGTTGCATTCCCAAGAACCGCACATCCACCTCCATTACTCGCCCACCAAGGGTAGGCCTGCTTCGGTAGCGAGACGGTCCGAGACCAAAGTTCGAATCGCCTTGACCAGTCGTGGAAAGTACATCGCACAAAGGACAGCAGGTACTGTAGTTCTGGTGGTGCACGTTGCCCTCGTCGTGCCTCGGCTGCCCGAGAACATCGGGGAGGTGATTGATCCTCTCAAACACCTCTGCTCGGTCGAATGGCCGAACTCTTTGTTCTCCAAAGATTTTGGAGGAACCCTACGGGGTCCGTGAAGGCGGTTGTCCAAACAGAGATCATGAAAAGCAGAGCCCCGCCCGTCATGGGCAAACAAACAATGCAGCAAATGTGAACAAGCATGGGCAGCTGTTGTAGGTTGTAGGCAGAATGGGTTTGCTTCATGCTGTCATGACACATTTGAGCACATAACGAAAGGATTCCTTCTTGATCTTCTTGATGGTACTTCGACAAAAATCAGTTACAAACACACCTTTCAAGGCAGTGATTTTCATGACTCTTGCGGCTGTGCCGCTATGTACATGCTCCAGCACGACCCCTATGGGGTCTGCTGGCGCAAAAAAACCTTTCTGGCCGACGTGGTCAGGCAAACAGCCGTTGTGAAGACGGGGCCCACCAGTTTGGGTAGAAACGTGGTGAAGTCACCATTAATTACCTACATTGATTGGCTTGAGGTCCTTGATGAGATCCCACAGTGAACACATCCATCAGCACACCAACTTCTTGTTCCTACAGGGGAATTGTCCAATGAGCAGCTGGCTTGACTGTAGAAACATATCAGCTTGTCTTATAAGGGTTTCGTGGTGTTTGTAATTCCCTGTATACGGTATATCAGCTATATGATCATATATCCAAGTTCAAGACTGAAGCTTAACTCTAAGAACAGTATACCAGTATCATCATATATCCGGTAACATAGTATCACATTATATAGTGATAATGTGTCGTGTGTGATGTATGTTCTCATCTCAGCTAAGTCTATGTATGTGTCTATCTCGATCCTTTGACACCTCGATCCTTTGTCGGCATGAGACTCGAGACTCGGATGCTCTAGGAAATACAAGAAGAAACGAGTATTGACAAAGTAAGAAACAAAACCTACATGGTTTCACGGTGGCGCAGCTAACCCAGCTGGAAGTAGCCCGACCAGAATCACTTGCAAGCCAGACTGCGAGGCAAATTGGAAACCCATTTTACGCTCCTCGAGCCCCGGAAGGTATGTGTTTGAACCGCCGTCAGCCAATTTGCGTACATCCCAGGCATCTCCGATCCATTCGGATGGCATCTTTGGCCCAGGATGGTCACGTTTGGATACGCAGCACGCGGTTGTGAGTGTTTCAGCTGTTGACCTGGCAGATTGGGAACAACTTGTCCGGATCATGCTCCGTGTGTTGTGGCACACACCAAATTTGGGGATCCAGTGCGTCCTTTCTATCGGAATTCTAAACAAACACTTGGCGCAAAAACACGACGCCGTATCAAACCCTTCCAACACAATATTAAGAATTATAAACGACATGCAACACCTCCAACGCCAATACTAGTCTCAAAAATGTCACATCTACACAAATCTACACAACAAAATCATCCTTCACACTTAACCAAAAACTATTTCATACGAATCTATCATGTCGTGCAGCCATCCCAAACCTACTCCAAAACCACAAGCCCATAACGCAACGGTTTCAAACGATGAATACTGGCTATAAAGAATTTCCTATAAAGAGATTTGCCGCCGCAATGCTCGGCTGCGGAACATGAAGAATGATTCATCAATTCAATGCAATCAAAAGAAATAACTACAACGCTGCACCCTTGCCACTAACCAAACCATGCAGATTGCGAAGCGATTCCACGATGGGGAAACTTGGAAACGGAGATTCACTATACCTGCTGATGGTTTGTGGCGTTTGTAGACAGACATCCTATTCTAGTTGCCAGGATGGATAGGTATGCAAGCTCTGTCAATGTGCAATTTCGTAGCTTTGCTCTTTGCAATAGGTCAAGAGTTCGGCGTCACGCATTCAGTCAGCGAAATCTGGTGCTTTGCAAATGTTGGAACGTTGCTACTTCTGGACTTTTCGGCACTTCAGAACATTCACAGTCCAACACCGCCGCATTTCACCTGACTTCTTAGGTCTCTGTGTACCAAGGTTTAGTCCGGGCTTGGAGCAATCAAATCATACGTACTTTATTTCAAGTGCCTGCATGGGTGACTTTGGATGTGTTGTGGGTCGTGTCGGTGTTGTAGATGACTCTCTTGGGGTGGGAGGGTATTGGCATTCGACTTGCGTTGGGTGTGAATAGTGCGTTTCGTTTGTTGTTCAAGATGTCTTTTGCGGGAAGGGATGACTTGTCATTCATAAGCATTCACAATAGTTTTCCAGCTCAGATCTCAAAAAAAATGAGGCTCGGCGCTGAGACATGAACTCCGTTTTTGTCTCAATATGTAACTTGATGTTGGCTGAAAACCCGCTCCATTGGCAGTCCTGAAAAGTGAGGCGCAAGACTCCTGAAAAATTCACAAAACTACTTAGATTACAACGACCTTTCCGCAAAGACGAACACACAACTTGATTGGAAGACGATACAGATGATTTGGACGCGGATGCTCCAACAACACGGAATTCGGTCTTTTAGCGCGTGACCCCAAGACAAGGCATCTGAAACAAACAATGGGTGAAACCTTCACCAACCCAAAACCTCCTGGTGAGGTGAGACAAGGAATTTCACCGGAAGTTTGATCACCGGATGTCCTTCAAAACACATTCAAAGACCATGTCTTTGCTTGTTATATGTTATTCATTCTTATTGCAGATACAGTATATGTGCTTCCTTGCTGTCTTTTCATCTTTCATTTTGCACGTTGCCCTCACCCCAGACCTATTGGCCCACCCTTTGCTCTTTTCGCACCTCAAGGTCACTATCCACCTGAGAGAGAGATGGAAGGAAAAAAAGACGGAGGGTGGTCTTCGTCCGAAACTGGACCGAGGAACCACATCACATGGATGGGTCAAGAGCTCGGACATGCTCGGACCGAGGAACCATGCTCGAAGAGCGGCAGCCGTCTTCAATAACTAGCTTCTACTCCAGCTTCTCTGAAGCCTCCTAACTCCTGGGTAAGAAAGGCAAATGCTGTGACCAAGGCGACTCTAATCATCAATCGGCCGGATGACAAGGGCACTGGGAAACAGCCAAGCCACTGGGATCAAAGCGCTTTGAATCCCGACAATGCGGCCGAACTCCACCTGCCAATGGGTCAAAATGTTCAGCAGTCCCCTACCCCTGAAGACTCACCAACTCTTGCTCGCTGGGCAAAGTGGCATTGTGGGGTTGCTGAAATAGTAGTGTGATATCACTTTCCACCGGCCATCCTCCTTTCTTCTCTCCTGCTCCTATGGATATGATTAATTGTCACCTTGGAACTTTCAGGGCATTCCATCGTGATGCTTCATGTTTTCCGGTGGAGTCACAGCAAGTTTTGTGAGGGGCGTGTATCCGGGAGCAGGACATTTGCTCACGCCCACTAGTGTGCTCACATCAGTGTGATCTTTGCCCGCTTCAGCATGGACCAAAGCCACAATTGCATGTCTTCAGTGTCCAGTTGGCTTTGGAAGCCCACGATCCGGTCGAGGAAACCAAACCTAAATCCTCCACCTGAGGAAATGCTCCTCAATCATCCTCTGGCGGCTATGAATCCGTTTGGATCCGGGTTTTTCGAAGCAAGCAAATGACTGCTTTACCTGGCATTGGCCGTCAGCCTGAAAGGTGGTTGTTCACTCACAAGGACTGCACTAATGTGAAGCGATGCTTGGACCAGGGCTAGGCGGACATGATTGCTCAAGAAAAACCGTGTGAACCAGCCTGGCAAGTCTCCTGTCCAGTTCCTATCTACGAACCCAGCCTCTAACCCGACGACTTGCTCAGCGGGGTGGACTTCAAAACGAACCTCGGACGAAGCCGTTTCCAACAAACTCACGGGTATGATGCAGCTTGGCACGATGCAGCTTGGTCCACTTGGTGCATTTAAGTGGTTTTCTCCGATCCTCAGGCCAACTGGGCTCCTGAAACAAAGACAAAAATTGGAAGAGTACACTTGCTTACTCGTGATGAGCGTGGATATGAAAAATGGACCTTGTCAAGACCATCTACAATCTACAATGGCGCCATGTTCTGTGTCTATGTTGATGGAAGATGGGAACAAGTCTGTTGATCAGCAGCTGCTTTGCCAAATATTCCAATGAAACCACATCGAAGGGGCGGAGGACACAAAGAGTCGCTGGTGGAAGCCAAACTGCAATGGAACTCAGCCCATCACTGATCTCCGTGCTTTTTGTTTTCCAACCAGTAGCAGAACTACAACGATCAAAAAGGCAAGAACCAACCGTTTCGCTTGTTTTCACCCATAAAAATGTTCCATCTTTTCCCCCATCGTTTCACCAACTCAATAAGTCGTTAATTGCAGAAGTCACCAGGTGCTCAAACACCCTGGTAGCCCTGGTAGCCCTGGTGCTTGGCAGCCAGACCCTGCTTGGTGGTGCTTCGTGTTTTCGTCCAGCGACGGTCAGCACCTGACCCTTCGCCTTGGACGTCGCTTAGGTCGGAAGGAAGCGTCGTGCGGAAGAGAACGACAAGGACTTCAAAACCCGGAGAAGGAAGGGTGACAAACATGAAAAACAGTTAACCCTAGCCTAGCTATGTGTATTGGTGTATATTGCTGGGAAGAGTGTGTTTTCCTTTTTGAAGCTATATATTTCTTGACTTTGACGCTGTTTGAGAGCCCTGCCTTCTCAGCATTGTTAAACAGTTAAAGTCTGCAGGTGTCGGCCACCAGAAGAAGGGTGGTGGGCCCTCCACATGGACACACAGGCGGCAATTAAGTGAGTCGCCCTCGTGTTGTTCTCTCTTCTGAGAGGTGGTTACGAGTCTGGATGCTCGTTGTTGTCTCGTTCTTCTGAACGTAGTAAGTGCAGCTACCTGCACAAACCACAGTATATAATCTGCAGGTGTTTTGTGCACTCTTGAAAAGCAAAGCTACATAGCTACATCACTGGGTATCTGTCTGCACGTCATCCAATTGCACAGTGAGCATCATAATGTTGGTAAATCGGGAAATGTATATATTATATAGAGATTCATTCAAGAAATGAGACGATGCGTAAAACGCATTAAACCGCTAGCAAATCTCGCCTCCCTCGCCCTAGGGTTCCAGCGGTGAAAAAGAGCAACTGGACTCCCAGGCTTCCGCTGTGCCCCACAGCGCCCTAGGTTCCCACAAAGTCATGTCGAGGAACATAGGGACCCCCCCAATAAGATTGGAAAGCTACTACTGCAAGCCCATTGGGCTATCGCGCCCGCTTGTTTTAGAAACAAACGCATGCACTGTGCTGATGGTGCTACTCAACTGACTGGTCGGTAGCTTGGAGCCGCAAGCTCTTCGCTCATATTCTTGCAGCGCACCAATCACTGATGAAAATGTGGTGTCTAGTGCTTGCAATTCTATACATATATATATATATCATAAATTCTATATACAGTATATCGGCGGGATTAGGTTCAAAACAGTTCAAAATGAATTTAAAGTCAACCTTGATTTCAACATATATATATATGTTATATTACCTGTTCGCGTTCCTGGGTGCCATGAGCGCCAGTTCCGTTCCCCAAAACTGACAAGAACGTCCTGTAGTGAAGAGGAAGCACTCCCGAACTCTGCGGCCACAAGCGATTTCGGTGTGTAAAAAGGAGACCTCCCAAAGAATAGACTACAGTATAAAGACCAATACCCAATGGGGTCTCCATCTCCCTATTTCACTATGTGAGCTCTTGCAGTAGATGTGCTCTCCTGCCTGCTCAACTGCCACGATATAATCGCCATCCAGATCGTAGCTGACCTCCGTTTGCTTTGTACCTGTAGCTCAGGCTCCGTGGAAATGCAGCCAAAGTTCAGCGATGCAATGTCTACAGTATATATTATATACATGCACTTAAATGGAATACATCCGACCAAGCAGTTGAATTTACAATGATATGAGTATGATGACATGATCCATACTACTGATCATGATCCACTTCATTATTTATTCTCTCATCGAGGCCTCTAGTGCACACACACCCAGCGCCGTCCATTTTTCACGGTCGTGCGCCATGGCGTGGCTTTCACCAGCCTGACGATCAGGTCAGTGGATCAGATGGCACATCCCAAAGCCAGGTCGAGCCAGATATGAACATCCCCAGACTGCTTTCTTGCTTTCCTCCTTGCAATGATCTGACACTGAGACACAACTTGGTCCCCAATGCAGGAGCATCCCCAGACTGTGAAAACAATCCCAAAAAATACTGTAGCTCCCCCCAAAAAAGCTCCCAGCTTTGAGGCCACCTACTTCCTTTTTGTTCCTCGCTTCGGTGGTGTTCCTCCCATTCCTTCTGTTTGCGCGCAAAAAAACGAATGAATCGGACATCCCCGAGCGCAGCAATCGTCGAAATCGGAGGTTCTTGGCTTCCCACGCTATTGGAAGAAGCGGCTCAGCATGGACCACACATCTGTCTCACCAGCCGTGGGGACGTGAGCACCGGTAGACCAGACAGACCATGGACGAATCGTCTAACATGTGACCACTTGAATGGAAAGTGTCACATCTGTCAACTAAAGTTGGTCAAATGTATCTTGGACCTGGGCTTTTCGACATTCATGACTCATGATCAAAGAGTGAATGTGTTCATCAATGCTAATCGCACAAAGTTCCTGAAATATCCTGAAATATCCATGATGCTTTGTGTCTACCACATTCAAACTGTAGTTGCAAAACTCAAAATCTGGGAAGTCGCTTCAACTTGGCCCTCTCTCTTTCCCTCTCTCATTGGCCATGTCTGCCTCGTCTGACCGATCGCTTCGGTCTGCCAAAGCTTCCTTCAGGTGTCCAGTGAGGCTTCACAGAAATGCGCGTGGTAAGAAGAACTTGATCTTTGATAGTTTAAAACAAGGCCAAACTGCATCCTTCCACTCCTACTGAAATCCCAAAGGATAGTTTTTTAATGAAATCATCTTTCTGCGGTGATTTGAGGGAGGTTTCTACGCCATGCAAAGGCAAGTTCAAGAGCTCATAGACTCATAGGTTGGTGGGATGGTTTCATTGAAGCCAACTCTGCATCGACAGCTCATGCCCAGCCTGAATCCCATGAATATCAGAATGGACCCACGTAATCAAGAAAACACGGTCACCTGGTGGCTCTCCTGATGCCTTGCAGACTGTCCAATTGGGTTCCCTAGGATGTTCCGAGAACCTTCTGATATTGTCATATCTCTTCTCCAACCAGCAACTCTCGTGCCCCAGCCACCCCTCTCGCGCCTCCGCCAAGGACCTCCGGTAGCCCAGATTCGTGACCCGGATCCGTTGGATCTGCCCCTCATCCTCCGGTACGGCACGCAAGGCCCAGGGGTCCTGAAGGCCCAACGAGCGGCGGCTTTGGGGCGTTTGCCGACCTCTGGGGCGTTCAAAAGGGGATGGGAACGATGGAGCCCAAAAAAGAAGTGGGAAAATCGATGGGTTTTGGCTTTGGCATCTGGTCAATTGTTTTATCCACGAGGTATCTCGTAGTGAGGTTGGGAGATAGTTCAAGAGATGCAACCCCTCCAAAGGTCAAGAGGAGGAAATGAGAAGAACGTCTTTCCGTGCACAGCTAAGGACTTTATGATCAAGAATGCTACTGCTAGGGCCTGCTAGGGTGTTGGCTGCGGCTGAATGCGAAGTAAACTGAGAGAATGCGGAGAGAAGAGAAACGAATTGCTACAAAAACTACTCCAAATTCCACACCCAACCGTTAAACGACCTACAAAATTATCCTTAACACCCTCCAAAAAAGTAAAGTCTCCCACCACCCAGCAACTGTTGCCCTTCCACCAGCTACGAGTCCCCCAAATCAAAATGCCGTCCACCCAGCAGGCGCTGGCCGTGCACCCGCAGCTACCGTCTACCGCAGCAGGTGTGCAGCACCTTCAGGACCAGCTCGTAGCCCATGCGCTCGTAGAGCCGTTGCGCGGGCAAGTTCTTGGAGCTCACCAGGAGGATCACCTGAAAGGCGGGGCTGCGCGGCTGCGCGGCGGCGGCCCAGTGACTGGGCCCCGTCACTGGGAGCTCGGTGGCTAGCGTTTGGGGCTCAGTGCTTGCGATTTTGTGGAAACCGCATCTAGCTTCGAGGAGGTTGGGTGTTGGTGGTGTCTGCCCATTGAAACATGCGCAAATTCGCCCAGCATCTGCAAGTGACCAGAAGGATGCGTTCACACCGCAGTGCATCCACATCTCACTTTTTCCTTCCACCAGTCCTTTGCATGAGCCATTGATGAGACGGTTTCCATCATTACGCCGTTAAACCATCGGAAGTTTGAACACCAAATGGGATGAAACCATGAGACGCGAACCACTGTTCACGCCCTTGGAGGAACATCCTCTTGGGTCGTCGCCTCCGGCACGCGAAGGACATCTTTGGCCCAAAGCTCCGCCTGCGAGCGAGGTGGGAGTTCCTCATTCTTTGTCATCGATCCTTGGTTCGATGTTCTGGTTTTGACATGTTTTTAGTCACTGATTTCACTGTTTTCCAAGTGTCAAGTACCCAAAGAGTGGACAGGTGTGATTTTTTGTGTATAGATGATAGGTCTCGTCTGGGGGCTGAAGATCTTTACACCATGTATGTTTCCCGTAGGTTGTGGGTCGAGTAGGATTTTGAACAACTTCCCAGTGACCCTCCACATGGAGGGTTTCCAAGCGCCCCACAAAAAGCAGCTCAAAGAACACAGGTCTTGGTCCTGGACCACTTGCCCTACAAATGTGTTTAGAGCTACAAACCTAGAGAATGCACAAGTTTGCTTCCAGTGGCGAAAAAACTCATCCTTTTCTTGAAAGACTCGAAAGACTTTCAGATATGGATGGGAAGGAAACCCAGAAAAAAACAAAGATGATTGCGAGTGTCTTGCTTGGCCTTCTCAGCTGGAGTTCGCCCAATGGCGCTGCGATCACACGTCAGTGGCCCATCATCAAGGACATTATGTATTATCAGATTATATAATTAGGTGTCTGATATGTGTTGTAATCATCCAGGCCCCTGGCCTGGTGAACATGTTCTGGACTATCACAGGTGGGGTGTTTCAGAAGGTTGCTGTTTAGCTTGAGATCCCCCAAGCAATCTCGCAGCTGGCTTGCCTCTCCAATCTCCGACCGTGCCTCCATGACCAATTGTTGGCCAAGACCTTTCTTTCGTTGATCCGGCAAGACCTAGGTTGACGGGAGGCACACCCTCAGACTGGACCGTCCGAGCTTTTGAGTGGATAGAAAGCGAAGCGCCTTCCTGACATGGTCCATGGCAAAAAAGGGGAACCCACGATGCAAGAATACATCCTTATCAGGACTGTCGTTTTTGCAGGTGGATTTGACGGGTCAAACAAGAGCTACCAGACCTCGTGTTCTCGAAGAGATCCGTCAAGAGTCAAAAGAATGTCTACATCATTTGAATCTACAGTAAATTGAGTTCCCTACTGGGAGTATTGTTGCTTGCGGGTGTCTACATACTTCTTGTTTGACAAAGTGTCAAACCAAGGTGCCGAGAGGTTTGACATGTAGGCGACTCGTTGCCTGCAAGTCAGCCAGATTCGAAGCAGAACCGGCAGATTCTCCGAAACGGAACCCAGAACCTCAGGTTGGTCATGACTGAGTGAACAGAGAGGAGGTTAAGAAAAGAAAGCACACTGAGTGAACTGGGCAAACTTGAAAAAGCAAGTTGTCTACCTTAATCAGACCCCATGCACTGATATGCACTGTGAATACCCTGCTCTGGAAAAGACTGATGCAGCACAAACATGTCCAATGGTCACCTGAATCCTCCCTCGGTAGTCCACCTCGCTGGCCGCCGCCGCTCCATGCTCGCTACCCGTGCCACTGAGGAGACCGGGAGCTCCTGGTGGAGTTGTCCAAGCGGTGGAAGTCCAATAACAATCTTCGTGTGAGAGGAAAAAGCTTCCAACTCATCATGGCAAAAAATCTGAAAAGAATTGAAAAGGACCGACCGACTGTTGCATTGTTCAATATTGTTCTGTTTTGTTCGAAAAGGACCAACTCCTCGAAAGGCATCACTTCTAAGCCCACACAGCCCACCAGCTGATCTGTCGAGGTCGCGAGACCGGTCGACCGGTGCGTCTAGAACGCATGCGACGGTCTCGCCGTCAAGAACCGAAAGAAGATTTGGATGAATCGGATGAACAAGACTAAGTTACTTGTTCGATGTCTTTTTTCAAATCGTGTTCAGTCAGTTATTGTTCAAATCGGTTTTCGGGGTTGCACCATTGTTGTTGAACAAGATTGAACCATTCAGAAGAAGCTGACGTGTCTTTGCACGGACCAACTTGTGAAGGACGTGGCCTGGGAACTCTCATGATCCGGCAACGTGTCACGGACTGCCCGTCTGAGCGACTCGGTGGAGCTCTCATGATCCGTCAGACATCAGCGAGAGAAGAAGGTCTGTGAGACGCTCTACGTCTGCGAGGTAACTGGGGGAGCCCCTCATAGAAAGAGGCTGAAAAAAAAAAGAACACCTGCAGCTCCGAACAAGCTGTCCATCTGGATAGAAACACAGCTCAACTCAGACCGTCGACTGGTCTCACAGGTCTCACAGGTCTCTTCTATAGGTCTCTAGATCTCTGCTTGAAAGTGCGAATTGACCCATGAATCGCGTGATGCGTTCATCTGCAGCTGGAATCCAAATCCATGTGAAAACTCATATCAGTACTGGGTTGGTGGTGAGTAGGACTGACTGGATTTATGTTCATGTGGCCGGTTGAGGTCAGGTCAAACGATCTCTGGGGTGTCAACTTCGGCCACGAGCGGATCAGACTGCGAGCACGGTAGGCCTTCCTGGTAGGCCAACAAGAGTGAGGCCGGGCCCATGGTGTACCGCATCGCTAGGTCCTCGTACACCTGACATGCTTGGTGGAGACGGCAGGTTCAGGTTCGGTGAGTGGACGCATAGACTGTATTGACTGGATCGTAGAGTCTCTAGGACTTAGGACTAGAATTACATTGTACTATATGCCACCCGGCCAATTTATACGTCTTTTTGTCGATCCATCCAACCGTCCAAAAGGATTGCTTTCAGGCAAAAGAATGCTACATGATCACCTTACAACAAATTCAATTACAAGGAAGCCTGTCCTCCCATGTCCTCCCAAGGTTCCTGTTTGATCAAGCCATCATTGCGAGACACCAATTCTCGATCAAATCCCCATTCCTCCAATACATGGAATGAGTGGAATCGTCAACTTGTGGTGTTCGCCTACAACGATGACTTTGGGTTAGCTTCGTTTTTGACTGGTCTTCCCAGAGCGGCACCAAAACCACGATATACGCAAAAAAATACAGAACGCCTGCTCTTGCAGCCGCCGTAAACCTTTGGCTGTAGGTGTGGGCCAACGGCCGGCATCATACATCGAGAGAAAGAAGCTCTCCGCCACCACAGCTGCTGCAGCCTTGTCAAGGAGATGGACTGAACCCACCAACTGAACCCGCCCACGTCCCGACCACAAGGGGCGTTGGATTCGGTGGACTCAGCGAGCCGGGGCGGACGCTGCAGGACCCCTCTGGAAGAAAGACAGATCTGACTTGATGGCCTTCAAGGTCCAAAGGGTTTTCCTACCAAATGACCAAGGCTTTACAGACTCTGCGCATGTCCACTGGATGTGGCCTGTTTAAGCCGAAACCTTCGCCGCCCACAACGTGCCTCTCGGAATGAAGGGTTTGATCCCCAGTCTGTCCAACCCTCCTGCCAATGGGTTTCATCTTTCAGGCGTTGCAAGGTCTGTCCAACCCTTCTACTGTATTTCAAGAATAGGTGTTGTGTATCAGAATCCCGAGAGCAAGCCGGTTACAGGGGGTGACATGGATTTTACAGTCGAAATCGGAGTAATGATTAAATCAAATCATATACCTCAAGATCCACTCTGTAGACGATGTCAATAACATTGACTCTTTGCCGGTTGTCTTCCTCCTGTAGCTGCCTGTACGAGTAGCTGGGGATCCACATTTGACCATTATATATATACCTCTTTCCATGTGTATGATCTCATATCATATCCCCACAAAGGCTTCCTACACGCAAAGGCTTGACAATTAAACCTCTTTTCGTGATGAGATCAATATCAAGACCTAGAAAAACTACACGGAGTTGGGCTTCAACTCATAGCTGCCATAGAATTGCCCGACGAGTTGGACAACCTGTTCACTTCGATCTCCGATCCCCGCCTCCAGCTCTCGCCGCTGGGGACCCTCGCGCTCGCCCAGGTGAAAGATATGGACCTGGTGTGGTGGACAGGCCACGTCCGGAAGTAAGGACCTTGCCTGTACCGTATACCACTCCCACTTGCAGGACTATCCCGTTTAAGTTGAACTCACAACAAATGCCTCATCTGAAGCCGTGGTTGAAACCCATTTAAAAAATATGTATAGTGTCCTACTGCAACACTCACAGCTTAGGAAATTATCTGCTGACAGCTGGGGTGGTGGGTATTGGAAAAACGAGGGCGAGTTCATCTCGCGTTTAAGGTGCGTCTTCAAGTCAGCTTTGAGACTCTTGAGTTTCCACCTGAAACTCAAGAATGCCCCCAACAAAAAACTCCGGTTGCGCGAAACTCGCAACTCCTGCCATGTCCCCTTCCCTCCGGCTCCCTCCGGCTCCCTCCGGCCTTTCCAGAGCTCACTCTGCCACGGCGCGCATGGCGGCACGCCGCCGTGCCCGCGGTGGTGCCCACAGCGGTCGCCACCGGGCACCGGTGATCACGCCGCTGGGGCCTTGTCCCTTGGGCAAATGGGTCGGTGGTGAAGGGGTGAGTTGGTCTTCCTCAATCTGTTTTGGTCCTGAGCTCTGCCCCAAGGCAAGAGTTTGGAAGTCTACAAGGTGGTGATCTAGGTTCGAAATGGGCGACCCTTTTTTCCGGATTTTTTCCAACGCGTTTTGGGAATGTGTTTCCGCACTGTTTGTGGTCTGGGGTTGCCACAAAGAGAAAAAGAAAGAGAACTAGCGCAGGAGGCAAGGGACAGAAGAGTAAGAGGAGAAGGAGAAGAAGGAAAAGGATAAAAAACTAACATAGGAGGCAAGGAAAAGAAGAGTAGAAAGAGAAGGAGAAAAAGGAAAAGGAGGAAAAGAGGGAGGAAGAGAAGGAGAAGGAAAAAAAAGAAGGAGAAGGAGAAAGAGAAGGAGACAGAGGAGCGAGGAGAAGGAACAAGAGAAGGAGAAGGCTCTTCCCGCTGCGTTCTTGCAGATCACAATACAGTATACACCAGCCATGTGAGAACGGTAGCGCTTACCGGTAAGTCTGACATATATAAATGTATGTCAAAACATGCATATGTATATCTATGTACGTGTATGTATGTAAGTTTGTCTATGTATGTATGTATGTATGTATGTCTGTATGTATGTATGTGTGTATGTATGTCTGTATGTCTGCATGTATGTCTGTATGTATGTATGTTTGTTTGCGCTTGTATGTATGTATGTATGCGCTTGGTTGTTTTCTTGGCTGTCGTGATGCGCTGTAGCAATACCATCAATAAAAAGAGCGAGAGGGGGTGCGGGGGAGGGCGCAGCGCCTCCCCGCAAGGAAAACAACGTATATTGAGCGTCCACGCGCTAAAAAACCAATCACCAAGAGTCGTTTCTGTCCAGGTCCTTTTTCTGTAGTGTGTTTCAGGGTCAAGTGCTTTGCAGGCCAGTCGCTTGCAAACTGGTTTGCTGGTTTTGTTTGAGTCACCTGCTTAAATTTAAAAAGCGGGAGGGGGTTCGGGGGAGGGCGCGGCCTTCCTCCCTTCCTCCCTTCCTCGCTTACTTGCTTGCTTCCTTGCTTGCTTCCTTCCTTTCTTCTTCCCTCCCTCCTTCCTGCTTCGTTCTTCCTTCCTTCCTTCCTTCTTTCCTTCCTTCCTTCCTTCCTTCCTCGGCAACAGAACCTGATAAAAGAAATCCCAAAACCCGTTGGAAAAAGAGTCCAAAAAAAAAGGGGTTCCGTTGGAAATCGAGGGAGTGCAACAGCCCATCACTGTGGACAGCAAGTCATCGCTGAAAAAGAACAGCTAGTGTCAATTCCCTTAATTTGGCAGCAAGTTGCACAAGCTTGATCGGGTGACCAGCGCGGGTGGTGCACATCCTGGATGCAAAACTTTGCTGAAGCATGCTGAAGCAACGACTGAAATTCTCTTCGGAAGCCTGAAGGTGACGGGTGACAGAAGCCTACACACATCCGAGTGAAATCAAAACACTCAGCGATGTTCGTCCAGCTCTTAGTATCAGCCCAGGTCAGTGAAACACTTTGGAACTGAACACTCCGTTTCAAATAGCGGCTTTGACTGGTTCAATGCAGAAGCTCGTGGATCCTCGCTCATGAGCTGAAAAGGGCACCAGTGCCCAAGCAGCAAGCATCTCGGCGTGCTCATTGCGGCTAATTGCCACGATCGTTTGGCTGCTTCAAGTGCGGTGGACTACTCTTGGTTGAATGGTAGTAGTGCATTCAGGAATGAACGAATCCATTGACAAATCGATGGTGGGTGGGCACCCTGCAAATCTGGTGGCTAATAGACACCAAATGTCACCCTCCATTTTTTGAGGCAGTGGCAGCCAGGAGCCTTTCATGCGGAACATGGGTTGAGCATGCTGAATGCATGTGTGATCTCACGTTTGGCTTTTGAGTCACAGCTGCAAAGTCCACCGTGGATCGGCGTCGGTGCCGGGCGGACGGATTTCGGACGGCAATTCTGCTCTGGCGTGAGAGCGAAAGGTCTAGCAGCAACGCTACTAGTAGCTCCTGGCATCGCTACTAGGAACAAGGACGCTACTAGTAGCTCCTGGCCTTACTACATGCACTCCCAAAGAAGTCTTCCTGGAAACTCGAAATGGAATGGTCACTGTCCGGTCTTTTTACCGAAGGACCAGAATGACCCACCGAGCATGAACAGCGAGACATTGGTCAACCCAGCAGGGTCTTGTATTGCTTTGGGTGTTGACTCGTAAGATCTCATAGCCAAAATGTTCTCCTCGGTTTCTCCGTCCTTCTCGGCCCCAAATGCGCACTCTCTGATGGAACATCTCCCAGCAAGAGGCGTGCGGAAAAGGCCTGCGCAGTGAGCAGCAGCTGTGACATGACCAATGAGGCTAACAGCGTTCGCACATGCATTTGATGGAACAAAGATCATAGATCCAAAGAAATCACCCCCTGCCACTGCATTCTTGGACGGTCTGAAGAGCAAACACATGAAGGCTCTGATCCAACAATGCAAGTGCATTGCCTGTGGCTCCAGACTCTGTGGCTCCTTGCTGCTGGGAAAGGATGGTCTCAAGAAATGAGACACGAACGCTACAGAAGTACGAAGTAGTTGCCTAACGTGGATCATTCCGCGCACATCGCAGCCAATGTCATCGTGGCAGGTTCCACTTTCAACACGTTCAACGGACAGAATATGAGATTGATGTAATTATATATATATAACTATGGCAAATGCACCATGGCCATCCTCTTGCTGAAATGGCCGAGAATTTACCGTCTCAAGATTGAAGCGGAACCTGCACAAAACCTAGCTGCAGCCCCGCTCCGTGCTTTCTTAGCGAAAACGTATGTTTGATGAGATGACACAGTGTCTGGGTAGAATAGCATGTGTGTATGTTTTAGTTCAAAATATTAGCAAAAAAAAATGCTAGCTGCTAGCTGCTAGGAAGGGTCCTTCCTAAAGAAGGACACAAATCATACATGGGTGATCATGGGTGGTGATCCACAGATCGGTCATTGGTCTCCTTCAACCCTTCAGGCGATCCATTCAGGCCATTTGGCCAAGACTTCCACCCCATCTGCGCCGCGTCTGTTTCGCGCTCTCTTTTCGTTCCAGCGGAACTCTCAGAAGGTCCCCACGTGCTTTCGATTGAAGGTGCGGGTGCCTGGCACTGGAGAACAAGCTGCTCCGGACATCTGGGTGCTTGGTGCAAGACTGTGAGTTGCCAACCGAAGAACAAAACGAGTCCTGACCTTTTTCCTTCCTTCCATGGTGACAATAGATTTTAAACGGTTCTGACCCATCCAGGAGTGTGGCGCATTGCTTCTCTTTGCTGCAACAAACCCATGTGAGAAATCACCTAGGTTCAATTAACAAACAGACTAACAACATGGACCACCCCAATTGGACCAGGGAGCCATTGGCTCCTCGTCTTGCCCCACAGGTGGCTCCACCTGAGGGCATCCAACACTTGGAGCGTGGCTCGCTCTGCCTCGGTCTCGGCAGGAAAACGGGGACATTGAATTCGTTACTGTTCGGTGTTCTGTCATAGAAATTGGAGACAGTCAACTTCTGTGGATGGCGATATGGCGTGATGGTGATGGCTTCAAAAGGAATTGTGATTCAACTGCTGTGGTTAGATACATATTAGATGCTCATCTATTCACTTGCTTGTCTCAGGCTGAAAGTTTGGTCCACAATGGTGAACAGGCGCGCCTTTGCGGTACGATGTTCATACCCAGCAGATCCTGCATCAAGATTGGTTCAACCCTTGCACACTTTTAGAATAAGCCTGCATTTAGGCTGGTCGAAATATATCAAAACCTTGCTCTCAAAAAGTGTCCAGGCTGCCGATGCCAGACCCTCTGTTCCATCTTCAATCTCGGAAATTTTCAGTATTGACACTCTGTTCGTTCTAGCAGCCCACCGGCCACCATGGGCACTGACGGGCACTGAAACAAACCGAAGAGCCCCCACATATCTGCTCTGCAACGGGTGAGATCTTTTTGGGCACCGAGTGCCTTTTTCATCTCACTCAACGTCTGCCAACTCCCAGACTACCCCAGCGTCTTGGCCTCCACCTTCGCAGGCACCATGTTGCGACAATTCATGTGCAACGGTTCTCCAGTGGACCTAAACTGAGCAAAACTGGGCACTGTGGGCATGGCAGGCCTGGAGGCCGAATCCAATCTCCAACAGCATAACCATTGGATAATATTGGATATGTCGAAGCAAATATGGGACACCCCCAACAAGTAACCTGGAGAAAGAGAGGCAAGTTGGCTGTATTCCCGTGAAGGAATACCTCCGAAAAGGAATGTATAGTAGAATACGGCGGCCCAATGGCCCAACGACACCTTTGAAAAGGAAAGGTAGAGAGTAGAATCCAGAGAGTCCATGGGTTGCTGGGGCTCCTGATTCCAGACCCAAACAACCAGCTAACGAGCTAAGCTATGCCAAGGCCACCCCCCAAAAAAACACCACACCTTTAGACACTCCCAAGAAAACGCACCGCCCTTTTGTTAAATGTGGTAATTAATGTTGATTCGGTTGGAGTCTGCAGCTATTAGCTTCAAAGCCAAAGGACGGATGCCACCCAGTCCCGGACTGGCTTTCATGGCAAGAGCGCTATGGCTTTTCCCATGGCCGAATTGGGGCGAACGTGAAATGTATTCTATTTCAAATGGCTATACATGCTTTCCATTGCTTTCCACATGTTCCAAGCAGGTACAGAATATCCCTTCACCACATCTTTCATCTTCCAAGAAGGACGGGCTCGGGATTTCCACTCGCTTCATGCAGCCCACGTGACCACCCAGGTTGAACCAGCTGCGCCCCTGCTCGAGGGTCGACGAGTCGACACTTCTTGAAGCTCCGATCCCATACGCTTGGGCCCTTTACCTTGCCTCCTTCCACAGTGCGACACGTCCTCATGTCGTGGCTTCTCTTGAGGTAGCTCTGATGAGGTAGATGTCCGTTCATGGCCCTCATCTCATGGGTGTGGTGAGTTAGTCCATGGCTTCATGCTCCTAAGTTCCTAGTAGCAAGGCCAGGAGGCCCTGGTAGAGTCCTTGCTCCTAGTAGCGATGCCAGGAGCCCCTAGTAACTTCTTGTTACAGTTCTTTCCACTTGCGCCGTATTCAGGATGAAAGCTCTCGGCACCCGACGTGAGTTCTTTCCCCAAACCCACATTCTTCGGCTCATTGTGATCCCACCTTCTTCGGCGAAGTTGCCACTTCTTTCCTTGGATGTGCCGTGGTATGTGGACACTACATGATGGTAGTGTGAACCTGAACCACAGGGCGCGTGGTGTCCGGCTCTGGGAAAGTCAGGTGACTCGCGGCTTCTTCATTCACAAGACGTTGAAGATGAAGCGACCGAAAAGAACGCCAGCCAAACCGACCGTGTCGAAATACTTGTGGTTTAGCAAAGGGAAGGGTTTAAAATGGTTAAAGCAACTGCAGTTGCTGCTGAAGGCCCTCTCCAGCTTCGGCCCTCCACGCGAGGAAGGGGAACTCGGACCTCTGAAGGGTTGGATGCCCCGTGGGCCACCACTGAACTCGAAAAGCCATGCCCGTGGGCCAAGATCGACCAAGGGCCATATCCTGTAAGGGTCACGTTCAATCAGCCTACATTGAAAGTGGATGAAAAAAATACATACAGTATTTCTCTCAACACCAGTCAACATGCGATGTGTATCTTTCAAAGTGTAACCATGTAACCAGCTCTGTCCAATCTATGAGCCGAAACGCCAGCTCTTCACGCGTCACAGGCCGTTGCAACACAGTGCTGCTGACCGTCTTGGCAAAGCAGGGCGAGGGCCGAGGCACGCTCATGAGGGGTGCGTAGACCTCTCCTGAGATACTCAGAACCAGTGCGAGTTTGTCAGGCGTTTATCGGTTGGAGGCCATCGCTAGTAGGTTGGAGTCAGGCATTTATACGTGTTTGCCTTTTTGCACGGTTGGCAAGTCCAATCCGAACATCGCCAAGCGGCTTGGCACTTCCTGGGGCTCTGCCTTAGATTGGCTGCAGGGCAGGTCGCGTCCCGAAGTTGTTGACACTCGTCTTTGGGGTGTAAAGAATCAATGAAGGAAGCGCACATTGCAAAGGGCATATAAATACCATACAGTATTCTCTCCCTGCAATAACGATAATCAGTGGAAAATGCCGATTGAGCCTTGGATGACCATTATCCTCCACAAGCAGGTGGTTCTCCACTTGAATGATTATTTCAGGAATTTTCAGGGAACGGATATCGTTTTGGGTGGTCGAGGCCTTCCCTGCTCGATGGCAGTTCGGTACTTTCTCCACCGCAAGCATAGGTTTACCCCATGTGGGAAAAACGCAGTACGACTGAACCACATGTCCGCTTTGGAACCGCACCAGAGGAAAACAACTGTAAAATGGGGGTTCTGGGGAGTTCTTGTTCATCAACCACCTCGTTGATTTTTTTTGGCTCTTGAAAATTAATGTTGAGCCTTTGTCATTTTTCTGGGGTCTTGTTATGCATGTTTAAGGGTCATAACTTTCACTATCATTGCTGTAATTCAACGAGGTGGCTGATTGTTTAGGTTGTTGTGTTTTGTTGTTTGTTGATGTTTTTGGGTTTGGGGTTTATATTCCTTTAATGCCAGCTTCATCATCCTCTCCATTTCTTATAACTTTCGGCTGTTCTTTTCCTTCTGCTTTGTTTTGATGTTTGATGCTTTCCTCGTGTCGTTTGACTTGATATTTGTTTATGATGCATTCACACACCGGACATACTAATGGTTATTCGCTTTTGCTATAGTAGTATTGTCTGGCATACTCTCTTATTTTGTTGCGGTTTGTCTCCCTGTATCGTTGCTTTGCTTCCAGACATAATTTACATTGCTTACATTTATGTTTGAAATAGTTGGGTGGTTGAAAGACCTTACATTTGGAACATTGTTTTTTGTCAGTCATTGTATCCCTATAAGTTTAAGGGGTTATGTGTTTAAATGCTTTTTAGGGGGTTCTCTTGTTGTGGGGGGTGGGTTTAAAGGATTAGTTCATAATATGTATAATTAAGATATTGTGAATTAATCAGTGTCTCTATGGTTTATCATCTTTTCCTATTCCATCCCAATGTTCAGATACAATCGGTTTGATGTTATAGAACACTAAAATGAGTGTATCTCTGTCCATATTTCGTTGGTCAATCAAGTGCTTCAACACTGACAACAATGTATAATAGTTTTGTTGTAATGCTGTCTTTCCTCCTCTATGGTGTATTCTCTCACCGTTTCTTTTAACAATATCTTTGTCAAAAATTGTTTCATAAATCTCTTTCATAAGGTCGCGGTTTATTTATTCATACTTGTGGTAAAGA